CACATTGGACGCACGGCTACTGCGCTACTGAGTCTCCCCTAATTTCACCTGCTTAATTTTTGCTGACGTTTACTCTACTTTTTTTCCTTTTTCCGTGGACTACTTTCGATGCGTTTTCGAATTTTTATTCAGGGCATCGTCCTCTTCGTCGCACGACCCTTGAATCCACGGCTTTTCAAACCAAATTCACGAATTCCTCGAAAACCATACCGAGACCAGTCCATGGCCTTACCTGGCAGCGTTCATACTCGGCGACGCAGGGCCGAATCGCGCGATCATCGGTGCATGGCAGCGCGCGCCCAACGCTATTATGGGACCGCTCGCCTGATGAATAAGGGAATCCAACTTGTGAGACCTTCACTCTTAGTAATGGCTGAGTAACTGATAAGTGACGGTTTTCTATGCATAAGCAGATCTGGAACATGAGGTAAGAAGGTTTTACTTCTTTTTAGGAACCAAAACACTAATCATTTTACGCAACATCAACAGGTGATAACTTTATAGCCTCACGTATAAGCTCAAACTGTCCCCGATCAGGGAGTAGTGTTTTATGCGATAAGTGGTTTTGTAGAGTTGGTTATGTAAGGTTTATTTCGAACCGAACTCCTGGCGCATGCGCGCGGTAATCAGCGGCACCCCACCTGATCTTTTATAGGGTCCAAGAGCATGATACGGAGGACATGTACATAATCACAAAGAAAGAGCAATAAGAATCAAAGCATAATAAGAGAGTCCTAAACGAACCTCCGCTAAGCAAATAATGGTATCAAGGGGTGAGGCGCCCTTAACAAATAACGCTATCAAAGAGGTACCTACTCTCTAGCAAATAATGATATCTAGGAGGTCGCGCAGAGCGAGACACTCCGCGCGCCCCGAGCAAAACTGTAGCCATCAACCAATTTTTAAAACTGGAAAAAAACAATTATACATAAACCGCGTAAATCAGCGACATACATCAATGAATGTAGTTCAAATTATCAAGACCTATTCAGTAATGAAATATGGTATCATCAACATCATTTCGATTAATGGTTATTGAGTAAAGCCGATGAAATTTTCCGACGAGAACGCGGTGTAGAGCGTTGATTCGTGTCGATGGATGCCGTTTGATAAGATAGATTCTGTTGTCGTTGTTGGTGGATATGATATCTCTAGTACCGAAGTAACACGGTTTATGTGCAGTGCTGCATTTGATACCGCATGCTGGGTCACTTCAGCATTCTTTCCGACCATTCTTTGATTCTTTTGGTCGTATCTTTTATTAGCCTCATTAAAATTGGAGGATTGAGTTCACTAATTTTGCAATTATCACAATAGTGATTGGCCCAAACATGTACGTGATTCCTAAGTGCAATAGTTTTTACACATACTGCTGCAAGTGTTAGCTTCCACTTGCTCTTTATCACATTTATTATTGGTTCCAGGTCTGGAACATGGAAACCTTTTGATGATGGCCATGCTGCGGATGCAGTGTTCCCTTCTTCGAACATATTTTCGGGAAAATATTTCACGTGGTAGTGTAACTGTCCTTCTCAGTTCCAAGGATAGTTCCTTCTTATCGCATATCACAAAGCATTTTTGTGCGATGAGAGATTTATCGAATTGTAGTGCGATTTTTGATGTTCGATTGGAGGGATCGCACTCCACCGTAAATGCCATGTTTTCGCACTGGATTGTAATGGTGATTCGAAGAGCTGTAGTGCAGTATGCTGTGAGTTCAGCTCCTTCTTGACAGCTGTAGCAACCCTTCACGGTGGTGAGCTCGACGGAACATTGTTGTTCTATGACGAATTCCGCACTATTGATCATTAGGCTTGATCTTATGGCAAGTGTTACCTCGCTCTTCGTGGAGTGAGCGTAAATCTGCATATTTTCATAGCTCAGATCTACAGATGGAGTGTATATTGGCAGCCGATTTTCTATCTCTGCTCTAATGTCCCTTATTGCTTGTTTGTGGACAATGACAAGAATTGTGGCGTTTTGTAGCTATTGCAGTTACATAGCATCTGGTTACTGCAGTTGGCAAAGTTTTTCGCTGCTATGTTCGCCGTAGGGCAGCGCACTGGTAGTTCGAAGTTAGGAATTACTAGAGCTTCTTCCTGTGAGACTGCAAAGCGTTGATCGAATAGGGATGCAGTTGGTCTCTGAATTGATATCACTGTGAGAGCTATCTCTTCATGCGATTGTGTGACGTAAGGCATGAGAGTGAATTCCCTGTGTTGTTCCATATCATGGACTTTGAATTCTACTTCGAATTCGATTAAGGGTGTCCAGTCTTTGCAACTGACGACCTCATACACTGGTTTTGATATCGGTATTTGGGCGACCCTGATGAATGAACATGCTTGTACAGGCAGAAAACATCCACATAATAGTCCACCGCAAGTATGCTCGCAAGCGGAGTATCCCGGATATTTGTTGGCTACCTGTAGTTCCTCTATGTTTTCGTGAGGTTTCAAGGTGTTTACCTGGTATTTTGAGTACAGGGATCCCTGCTTCTTGCCACATCTTGTTTTGTGGAAGATTTGTGCTTCCAGTGGTCTCGTGTGAAAGAGTAGCCGTGTGTCCAATGTGGGGAGAGGGGAGAGGATTCACTGCGACAGTTCAAAATTCGATTTCGAGGTAAATGCGAGTGGTTCAAATGCAGTGAACAGGGTACATACAGTCCTCATCATTGCGGACCGGTGGGGCGTGTCAGCCAGAAGGAGTGCGCACACTGTTGAAGCCGTTCTCAGCCTTTTTGTTGCAACGCGTATGCGACAAAAAGTGGTAGAAAACGAGTAATACGAAGGATATAATACAGTAATGCACTTGCCCGCTTCAAAAACTGGTGCAGAACGATTTTGCCAAACCGCACCAAAGCAGCCGCACTGCCACGCCCCACCGGTCCGCAATGATGAGGACTGTATGTGCAAAAGTGGATAATGCGAAAACTGAAAATTTGTGATCCGCCATGTTTATGTTTATTTATTTACTCGTTTATTTACCTATTATTATTTATTGTACAACAATTAAGACAGATGCATGGTTTTTCTTCAATTCAACCTCTGAACATCCAATGTCGCCGCACTGCTCCTAAAGATCAATTTCACAACTGCCTATTAGGGCGGCGGAAGATACATATCACTAACCACGCAGGAAGGGGGTGGCCCGGCTTGGCTGGAAATGGCTCCATTTCTGTTATTGTTGGGGACCATGTTGAGAAAGGAATCGATTCGGACTTATTCTACTACAGTTACACGAAAACGAAAAAAAGATATGTCAATAGTACCCGTCTCCGTTTTTCCCGTTTCACATTTGCTATATACACCGCTGCCTCCCCCATCTACGAGAGCTTCATCATATCAGAGGGGTGACTAGGGGGAGAGGTCCTATCAAGATATTTTGCAGGAGGGGGTCGTACGGACTCGAGCAAAACCTCCAACCATTGGTGTGCCCTGAAACCATAGATTGACGACAATACGGCTGTACGGCAGCTATGGGCTAAACATAATGTAGAGAAGAACGGGTAGATACCGGGCGCGAACCAACGCTCTAAAGCGCTTTAAATAGCTTTATTATTAATAACAGAAAGCAGCCGTTTTCTTACGAGTGGAGCTGCGCAAATGGGTAGGGGGGGGGTGGATGGAAGCGTTGAGGAAGTTGATCTAGGTTTTTTCACCAGGTAGCCACAAAGTTGTAGTGTTTTTGATAACATTTCCATAGTTTTACTCTAATGAAATGGCTTGCGGAAGCAAGCGAAGCCAAATAGCCGTGCAATGTTCCAGAAATTATCTGAACGTTCAAGTTCCAGAAAAATTTCGACTATATTCCGCTGTTACTGCTCCAGAGATTCAGGAATCTGCCGTAGCTTTGACCAGAGAGGTTATTCAGTGCTCCGATCACAAACATAATACTCATTTTGCTGCTTGCACCAGACAGCGCCACTACCCGTATCACCATATCCAACCAGCGGGGGTTATTTGTTGTATACGGGGGTTACCCGACATCTTGATCACGGATATGATATTCATTCTTGACGCCAGTGCAGTGCATTGGTTCATTTGCGCTCTGCTAAGGCTGAGCCTGGCGGGTAGGAACCCGCTCCTCTCAGGCTCAACCTCGTAATCAGGGTGTCGTTAACCCTATAGTGCAAGTATTCATTTTTGTGGAAAAGATGGGCGTGTCTAAGCGGCGCTATTTGGAAGAAAATGGCGCCAGCGACAAAAACGACTGTCTTGTTCGTAAACACGATGTCCAGTAACCCCCGTACAGAAGATTTACTCGATTTTGGTGTGAAAGATGGTAATGCCATATCCGTGGTAGAGACACCGAATAACATCCAAAGGTATGGCTTCGGTGATTTTTTTCTGTATTCTGGAGTAGTAATGGTGGAATAGTGTCAAAATTTCTTTCGCTTCGTTTGCCAAGACCATATCATAATTACATCAGAATATTCTCCAGATTCTCTTCTTACTATATAGAAATAAAATGTGTGAAACCAATACTGGGATTCTGAAGCTTTATTCGAAAATCTCATGAAGTAAGCCTCTATGCGGCGGCGTGAACGACACGGCGTCTCTTAGAAACGACCTTCGTTGTGGGAGCCTGTCTGACCGCCACTTCGAGCTCCGCCGTTGTTGCCACCTCTAGTCGCTCTTCCTCCAGTTGAATACGATTTTGCGCCAGTTGAATACGATTTTCCGCCAGTGGAGACTGGTCGGCTTACTGCCATTGCGGGTTTTGCTCCTGCAGAGTATGAACTGGAGGTGCCGTAGTTACCGCCACCACCTCCAGCACGTGCAGGACATGGACAGTACGCTGCATCTGATCCTGGCGATCCACTGCCACCAGGCATTCCAGGAGCTCCCGGTGCTCCTGGTGCTCCGTCGTTGCCAGGAGCACCAGGGGGTCCTGCAGGTCCGGGGCCTCCTGTACCAGAGTGACCACCGTCTTGCCCTGGCATACCAGGTGGACCTGCTGGCCCGGGTGCTCCTGCAGGTCCTGGAAGTCCGGAAGATCTCGTTCCTGAAAAGATTAGGAGTAGGAGTGTAAACCGCTCGATTAGTAGCACCTTTCATCAGTTACCTGGTGCTCCCGGGGCTCCATCTTGTCCTGGGCTGCCAGGTTGTCCATCGCGTCCAGGTGCTCCAGGAGGACCAGGTGGCCCGGCCATACCTGCATAGCTCGTATTTATCACATAAAATGTTCCATTAAAAGTGTTTTTGGGTATAGAAACAGCTTTACCTCCTTCCATCCCTTCTCCGTCTGCTCCTGGATTTCCTGGGGCTCCAGCTGGACCAGGAGCTCCATCTGGTCCGGGTGCACCTGGAGGTCCAGCTGGGCACGAAATGCAACCTCCGCCGTGACCTCCCTCCACTGCCACGCCGGCTCCTCCTGCTCTTCCAGGAAGACCTGGCTGGCCATCCTCTCCCGGCATTCCAGGTAGACCGGGAGGACCTGTAACTTTTTTTATAAGGGGAGCGTTTCAACAAAAGCTCGCCTCATTTCTAACCTGGTGGTCCTGCTGGACATCCTGATGCTTGAGCTGCGCACATACAACCACCACCGCTACCAGCACGGGAATAAGAGCCGCCACCACCACGAGAATAAGAACCGCCTCCACCGTAAGAACCGCCACCACCACCGCCACCGTAAGAACCGCCACCACCACCAGCTGCATAGGATGCACCTCCACCACCAGCGCCTTGGCTGTAGCTGCCACCTCTTCGGATCCTAGCTGAGTTGAAGACTTCGTTCTGCTGACCTCCCACCATTGTCTTCCAGGCGTCGTTGGCTATGTGCTGTAACCATGGGATCTCTTTAGAAACAAGGATTCAGTAAGGATTCAGTCAATCAGTAGGCCGTAGCCCTATGAACTAACCTTGAATTGATCAAGATCTTTTTCGATATCCCTCTGGAATTCGTTGATGTCACTAATGATGTCGAAGATGATGACGAATGTCACGCCAATAGCGATGGCGGTGCTGATGAACGCACCAGTCACAGTGTAGTGAAGCATAGTGCCCATCTGAAATTTAGAGGATAGTCGAGCCCGTGCAGATTCATCCACACACTAAGTTCTTGGGGAGATTTTGGTGACTGGGCAGTGTTGATCGTCGGCTGTTTCAGAAGGGAATCTCAAACTTTTTAGAGGGTGAAATATGAATGTATAATGAAAATCGTGGAATTCCAAAATTAAAATGATAGCGGAATATGAAAGGGAAGCGCGGCAAAAAATAGCACTAAATTTCTCTGACTTTTTGGATGTCAGAACAAAATTTGCTCAAGCAAAGTTCTTTTTTTCGGTGAAAGGCTCCTTTGGAAGAAGAGAAAACAGTTTTTTTGTAGCTCAGTATGCCAGGCGAACTTACCGTTGGCTGCTGGAGGACACGGTGATGCTTCCAGGAAACCACCATCTCTTATATAGTCAGTGCACATGGGTGACAATAGGAAATAAGTGTGAACTATAACCTGATTTATGGCACAATTTACTACATGGATAGGTCAACAATGACAAACAGGTTCTTTTGGTCTCTATAGACAGCAAAACACCAATGAATTCTAGCTTTCACGCCACGTAACGTGCACGCTATTGTCCCGAAAACAAACGCCTTGACAAAGTGGCGCACGATGAACGACGGAAGTTCCTGCCACCTTTGAATAAGGTGCGGCAAGAGTCAGCCTGGAGAGCGGTGGCAATTAGTGGTATTGGACCTATCATCGGTGGCTATCCTTCGAACAACTTCCAGTCATAGGGGAAACTGGAGTGGTAGTAAAACAGAAGTCAGATGATTCCAAGTGGCGTGGTGAAGCTCCAAAAGAAAAAAGAAGTTCCCAGAAGTGTGACTGTGGC